AAAAATCAAACCATAACTTGGTTGAAAAAACCATTGTGCTTTTGGCTCACCGTATAGTTCATTTCCACCAAGCCTTGACTATATAGCCTATTGGAAAAAATAGATTCCAGCTCGAAGGAGGTAGTTGCTCATATTAAGTAGAAGCAAACGAAAGACAAAAAGCAAAAATTAAGAAATAAACCTTGCCGATCAGCTTTTATTATTTTAACTTATCTGCACTCTTAACTGCAGTTAACCGGCTAATTTTTCGTAAATTTCGTTAATTTCGGCTAAAAATTGGTTAATAGGCACCCCTTTAGTTGTACTATAAACTTTTGTATTTCGTATGGGGGACCGATACATAAATGTTAATATTTACATATTTATACTAACCTGTATTAAGCTCGCCAAGAGGAATGCCGCTACGAAAGCAAAGGTAACCGTCGTTGTTGACATGTGTATGTAATCGGCAACAAACACGAACACAACATTACCGGGAATCGACATGCCAAGGAGAATACGCGCCGTTTTAGCATAGGGAACTAAAAGATAAATAGAGAGAGAGAAAACATCGCATTAGATATATTGGTTTCTAAACAAATAAATTAATATATAAGTGCAATTATAATCGTTTTATTGTAGATAAAAGTAATTTAAAAGCAAAAAAATAATATTTTTAAGCAAACTTTCGAAATATGAACGATATCGGACCATAAATACTGGCTTACTAAATATGTCGTCAAGTTTTAAGTCTCTAACACATATGTATAATTACATGCATACATACATACAAACAGAGTAAGTTAAATAAAAGCTTTTAATAAAGAAATTAATAAATAAATGAATTCGCCTACCAAGGCAGCTTAACTCAGTGTGCCCGAGATACCTTCGGCTTCCCTTACAAATTCCAGCGCTGCCTTGGTAGGCGAATTCTTTATTACAAAGGGTTTGACCATTGGAGCTTTAAAAATGGATTAAGCTTTACGTGCTGTCTACTTTGAGGCAAGTGATTTTTTTTTAATTGTTCGATGCTTTTGAGGCCTTTGAAACTTTTTCCCAGTTCCTTTATACTTTACATACATTCTCATTATTTGAATCACCATTTACAAGAGCGATTTTTCTGGAGCAATGTTGAAAGATTACACAGAATTTTCTGTAGTAAAGTTTAACTATGATTTAGCAACACTTTAAAATAGATAAGTTAACGGCGTCTTTTGTCTTAATGTAATAATCATAATATAATAATAATTTTAATTATAATCCTAAATTCAAAATTATAACCTTATAATCATAATCAATGTCTTAAATAAAGATTATTAAAAAGCTTCCTTGTCATTATTTAAAACATAAACACAAACTCCAAAGTTTTTATTACAATCATAACACAAAACTCACCTCCTTTGAAAAGCGCCTTCCATGGCCATTCGAAGATTTTCGTATGCGGCGGAATGATGCCAATAATGGAACTCTGATGCAGCATGGTTGAGATTTTACTCGCTTGCACCGATACCAAATTACCACCAATACCATTGATAATCGGTTGAAAGACAACAAAGCCATCGAATATTTCCACAGCAGCATCAAGCACGAGACCGCCGAGGCTAAAAATATAACAAAATGTGAAATTGTTAAAATAAAAAGAGTGTCATAATGATTGTGAGATGTTGCGTATACGTCACGTTGGTATAGCAATTAGTTGCAAATTCACGCGCTCAAGTGTTTCATTTGCATAAAATTGTTAAAAAAATCTGTTTTGTGAATCTGCATTTTTTTACTCCAAATAAGTATGAAGCTGGACATCTGCGCAATTGCTTTTAAGTACGCTTATAAATACTCGCAGATGAGTATGGCTGTATGACGTCAATTTAATCAAATAAAACACCTGTTTGAGGTAAATATTTCGAGTGACGAAAGCTGAACTAGAAACACAAAATTTATGATATCNAACTGCCCTGGAAACTGACGCAAAATAGTTTTAATTATTCGGAGCGACTTTTTTTAAATTTGAATCTAAATATCTCCACAATAAGAGTTTTTCCAGGTATAAGCTATATACAAAATTAAAGTTAGGGTTTTGGGCTAGACTTGAGGATAACTAGAATAAAATCGACTAACCAGTTTTTGAGAAAATGCTCGAAATCTATATTTTCAGCAACCCCTATTTTTAGTTTTCAGGCGATAACATTTTCTGGACACACTCTGGGTAAAAACTTCCAAATTTCGGGTATATATATAAATAAGCGAGTGGCTGCTTTCGTGACTCGCGCGCACTGCTGCTGTGCGCTGTGATTTAACTAAGCTCGTAAGTTTTGTTAACTTATTTCTTTTTTGCTTTGTTTTTTTCGTCAACACAAACTTTTTCGTGCTGCGAAATGATTTTAAGTGGTTTCGAGCAAAGTTCTATTTTAAATTTATGGCTACATTAATGACATAACAGCTTAGTTTGAAAAAACTCGAGTCATTTTTATATTTTTATATTCACTTGCGCTTTTTATACCCGAGCACACTTATGCACAAGGGTATTATAGCTTTGTTCACATAACGGTTGTTTGTAACAGGCAAAACGAACCGAGATAAATATAGACAAATGTATACATACATAAATGATCAGTATGAATAGAGGAATCGATTAAGCTGTGGCTGTCTGTCCGTCCGTCTGTCTGTGCAGGCGAATAAAATTCAGTGAGTTTTTCGCAAGAGAAGTGTACCCAATTTTGAGAGCTAAAACTCATTCTCACACTTCCTGAAACGCCGAATGAATACAGTACACAATTTTCAATGTACACGTGAAAACTCACAGTTACAGAATCCAGCCCCAGCAGTGGGATTGTGAAAATTGCTATCGATACTTTTGATCGCAAAAAATCTCTAAAAGAATAAGGGTTTCGAGATAACCTGCATGGGCATAACTTTTACGTGAAATAAATATTGTTATCGATCGATTTTTGGTCCATGGAAATAAATTCAGACGTTACTTGCAAAACATGCGGGATATAAGTTGCATGATAATTTTGCACTGCACAAATTGATTAACTCCACTTTTTAAAAATCTTAAATTTAAGTGTGCTTTCTTTTTAGAAAATGTTGAATGAACTGTCGGTTTTAAGTTTAAAAATGCGCACCACTTCGTCTTTATTATTATAAATGATGGTTATCAGCCGCGGGTCAAGAAAAGATAACAGACTATCCAACGGTAATCTGAAATCGATAAGGCCTTTAAGTTTTTATTAGAGGAACAAATAAGTATCGGAAATTTGTATTGATATCGCCCTCTATGGCTGTGCAATTTTTGTGGAAGTTAGTTAGTTTCCTGGACATAACTTCCATGAGATTTTCTTGCAAATTCCATGCAACATCTAGTCAGATGTAACTCATACTTGCAGATTTCGCTGCATAGGCAAAATTCAGTTGTGTTTAAATTTAGAAGGACCCTTCCTCGCCGTTTGCGACCAAACGAGGTTTTAGACAAGGCGATTCACTCTCGTGGGACTTTTCAGCAAAAGCATGGTGCTGCTGGCGTATGCGCATCATATTAACATCGCCGGCCCGACGACCCACGGACGTCAGCGCAGCATTTTCCAGCTACGGGAAAGAAGCGAAAGATGTTGGTCTAGCGGTTAACGAGGACAAGGAAAAGTAGAACCTGAAGCAGTGTAAGACTTTGCCTAAATAGAATCCAGCATAAATACCACTCACAATGTCAGCCCGGATATCAAGTCGTAGGCAACTGAAAAGCAGGGCTATTTTGCGACGAACAAAAATTACGCTCTACAAATCTCTTATCATGCTCATCTTTTCATATGGCGTAGAAACATGAACGATGTCGAAAAATTACAGAGAAAACAATTCAACGCCAGGTCTATGGCCCTGTTCGCGTGAGCGAAGGAGAAGGATTTTATGACAATGGCAAATATTCCCAATCAAAAGGAAAATTGTACGCCAAAACTTAACTGTCAGAAAGTGTTAAAATGGCAAGTTTTTACTAGTTTTGTATTCAATAACCTTTTATGATAATTTTCTCTTCCTCTCTATTTTTCTTTTACGCTCTCGCTGCAAGTACTTACTGGTAAAGTTATTGAATGGACCTATAATCTGGAAAGTAGCTTTTACTAATCTTTATTAGTATTTAGAGTTAATTTAAATTTGTATCTTAAAAATGTTATCTTATACGCAAAATTAGTGCATACATGTGACTTCATATTGACATTAATAATTGTAGCTTGTCAATTACAAACAAAATTAAGACAACCGTTCATAAACAAAAGCAATTGACTATTCCTCTTTTTACTTATGTACATACATACATATATACATATGTATGTATATATGTACGTACCTCATTTCAAGAGGTCGATGTACCGACTCGCATAGAACTTCCGAAATCTGGTAAAAAATTGCGATCAAAATTATAGCTGGGAGCAAAAGCTAACTTTAATTTTCTAAGATCTCGTAGCTTGTGTAAATTTTAATATTTGGGCTCTTACGGTATACAAATTAGGGAAATATCTACGTATACTATTTTCACTTACCCACTAATACATAGCGCCGAGAGTACCGGCACCCAGCCACTCTTCAGTACCGACCGCGTATATTTATTTTTGAGCACAATAGCTACCCACATAGGTAAAAGCACTAAATAACAAGCGACTATAACAAATGTGATCCATAAGTGAGTTTCTGTAAGAGAAAAAAATAAAATATATTAGTGGTAAATAAAACAAATATTAACTATTTTGAGTGGGTCCCCAAAAACTCCCAAAAAAAACTGAAATGGGGGACCCATAAAAATCGTTAGCGATAAAAAAAAGTGGTAAAATCAACAACTGGGTATTATCCTTCTGAAGAGACGTAGAGTTTTCCGATCGGAGCATATTGATATTTAAGAATTCCACGAAAGTTGCATTTTCCCATATAAAACTTTGTGCGCTCTGAGCGATCTTGTAAATATTTTTTGATTTCGAAATAAAAACCCAGGGGTATATTTTTTCGATTTAGAAACAATCCTAGGATGGAAGAGCAATAAAATTCGGAATTTACTTGTTTCACATGCTCTTTTGGACGAACCTATTGTGTACTTACAAGTGAAAAATGGGCTTCTTCTGCCTGGAAAATATTCTGTGCAAATATCCGGCCAAAATGTTAGACAGAGTGTTCAAAATTATGTTAAAAGTGGCTAAAGTTTTTAAAATAAACGTAAAAATTGGGCAATTATGCATTCAATTTATTCAAATCCGATGTTGACATGACGTTTTAATATTTTAAAGCGATTAACTTTTTTTCACTTATATGAAAATTACGTAAAACTCGTACAAAAAAGTACGAGCATTTTCTCAATATTTGTTGGAGATATTTCTTGATTGTTTGCAGAGCTCATCCTATTTATCTTACCTAACGTTTGACGTTAGTTGTTTTGTAAAATTAAAGAGGCAAATTATAACACCGTGCGACGAAAACAATAAATTTCGAAACACACGTAGCAATCTATATACTTACGAAACTGTGCACCAAATACAAATAGTAACACTGCGTTCTTAGTTTTTCTCTCTGACGATTTTTTTTAAAGAACATTGCAGATTAAAAATATGGGTTGCAAACGATTCGAGAAAATTCTGTAGAATTTAAAAGTATCAACAATTTTAAGGTTCACAAGGACCAATATGTATCGAAATTAATTAAATCAGTTTTATTTTTAACCTTGAAAAGTTGGAAGGACGAAATTCAAGGATGTGGTCGAGTGTATATTAGGATAAAATTTTAAAAGGACATTTTCAATACTTACTCGTCCTTATACATCGAAAAAATTAATCTGCTCTAGTTCTACAGTATTTTCTCTTTAATTTGATATCAATACGGGTTTCCTACATTGCACTGAATTTTTTAAATAATTTTTTGAAGATATCATATTTTTCAATTTCAATTATGTCAAAGAGAAAACAAAAAACGCAGTTTTACGATGTTTGGCCCACTGTTTCGCGAATATATTGTATTCTTGACTGTCGCCCATTGTAATCGGCAATCTCTTGTAACGATAATATGACATTTTTCCGAAAGTTTCTTTTATATTTTTGAATTAAGGAGATAGTACCCATTACTAAAACATAGTCATATATACAAAAAAAAAATATTCCGACGAATTGATAACCTCCCCCTTTTTTGAAGTC